CTGGCTGGGGAATTCTGGGAGTTGAAGTCCAGACATCTTCAAGTTGCCAAGATTGAGAAACACTGATCTGGCTACACGTAGGGTTGTGGCTAAGGCCTTTGGGGAGGACTGTTGTCCTGTTTTAAAAGATCTCTGGAGAAAAACCAGGGAGGTTGATCCTCATGGACAGGAGCCTTTGACTCTCCTGGTGCCTTATTTTTATTGATCTCCAGCCGTTAACAATAGCAAACAAACGCAATCCTCCTCCATCAGCTTTTCCCCACAACAACAACCACCCTGTGAGGAGGATTGGGCAGAGAGAGGAGGGGGGGCTGGCCCAAAATTGCCCAGCTAGCTTTCATGCCTAAGGCAGGACTAGAACTCACCGTCTCCCGATGATGGGCCCAAAAGTCACTCCGACAGACTTTATGCCTAGGGTGGAAGTAGAACTCACCCGTCTCCTGGTGATTGACGCTTGCTGTCTCGTGGCTTTCACCCTTGGGGTGTTTCTGGCAGTAACCGCGGGGGGAGGGGAGGCTTCTGGCCGGTGAGTGCCGTAACCTTCCCTCCGGCTTGCCGGTGTGTGTCTCTCCGCAGCCCTTGCAGATCAAGTCAGTGGTGGCTCCCGAACACGTGAAGGGCTACATCTACGTGGAGGCCTACAAGCAGACCCACGTGAAGCAGGCCATCGAGGGGGTGGGCAACCTCCGGATGGGCTACTGGAACCAGCAGATGGTGCCCATCAAGGAGATGACCGACGTGCTGAAGGTGGTGAAGGAGATGACCAACCTCAAGCCCAAGTCTTGGGTGCGGCTCAAGAGGGGCATCTACAAAAGTGACATCGCTCAGGTGAGCCGGGTTTCGAGGGGGGGGGGGGCGTCTTTCAGAGGGAAACGGGGGAACCTGAGCCCTTCTCAGAAGACCAGAAACAGCAACCCAACCCCCCCAAAATAAAAAGAATGGGGGTGGGGGAACTTACTGGAAAGAAGGAAAAGAGATTCTCGGGGATCTACAGGTGGTCCTCGACTTACAAGAGTTCAATTTGTGGCCGTTAATAGCAATAGCAATATAGCAATAGCAGTTAGACTTATATACTGCTTCATAGGGCTTTCAGCCCCCTCTAAGCGGTTTACAGAGT